AGACCGGAGGGATTTGTTGGGAGGTGATGCTGTGACCAATACACAGTCACAGCTGTGGGCAGCTGCAGAGAAGAAAGAGGATGCTCCCAGGGAGCAAGAACTGTGCCGGGTGCACTTTGTCCTCGCTTCCTTATCATAGTGCATGTAAGTGACATAGAGGAATTTGCATAGTTTCACACATTAGTATAAGTTGAAATTCAGTTAGCTTTCAATTCTTTTTTAACCTCTAACCTACTCTAAAAATACATTTTCACCTGCAAATATGCTAAGATTTATTATTAAGTATTGTTTCCCAGATGTTCATCTTGGCTAGTATTTCTTATATTTAGGACATGGTTAATGATGGCTAAAGACAGCCTAGTGGTTCCCAGAAGAGAAGTATCTGCTAGAATGCCTCCCTGGTCAGATTTACCCAGCCAGCACCTCTGGGCCTCAGTTGAGGAGACCCTTCCTTGAGAAGGAACTCTGGAGGAAATAAAAACCTCTGCTTTATGGAATCTAATTAATGCATCAGGTTTACCGATTACTCACGTGTCACTATACTGTTTGTCCTCTAACCTGGAATTCAGTTAATATTTGTGGAATGCAGGCATGAACTGGAATATTCTAGACCAACTCCATCAAGTAATAGAAGAAAGCCTATTCATTATAGTTCAGTTCAGATATCTCCTATCTAATGACTTAGTTCAAAATCATTTTAAAAATCTAAAGTTAACATTCTTTAAAAAATATCTGTCTTTGGCCTCCTTTATGCCACAAGTGTTCATTGTTTCAAAAGAAACAGTGCTGTAATGGCACATTATAAAAGGATAGAAGTTATAAGAAATATTCTGCTTTGTTATAGAACTTTTTACATTCTCAACAGAGGCATAAAAAATAAATTATTTATAGTAGGATTCACTGGGTTACATTATATTTGATTTCTAATATTGTTTGGCTTCCTAACTAAAGATGCTATCTTAAACTAACAAAATCTTTATGTTTTGGCTCAAAAGCTTAATTGCAGCTCTTCCTTGACTAAAAGAAATGGCCAAAATTATCCTGCCATAGGCATTAATGGCCAGTGATTCCTTCCTTTACACATTTAGTGTGGTTTGGACTAGAATTGGAAGGATTTTAAATGGTTCTCAGAGTAAGTTGCAGCTCTTCCTTGACTAAAAGAAATGGCCAAAATTATCCTGCCATAGGCATTAATGGCCAATGGTTCCTTCCTTTACACATTTAGTGTGGTTTGGACTAGAATTGGAAGGATTTTAAATGGTTCTCAGAGTAAGTAGTTGCAAGAACTAGTGCCTTCCACTCTGTGGCCTTGGCTGCTGTAAATCACTTGCCTTCCCGAAGCTTAATTTAAATGAGACAGGATGCTAAGTAAAAGCTGGGTCTCAGGGTAGATCAAATACAGCATCGATTAAGGATACTAGTTAGTCAGCTGCGTGCACATGTTGCCAGGGACAGCAATGAAGATGACAAATGGTATTTCCCTCCACTAAACTAAGCCTGGGAAAGCTCATCTTCTAAGGATCTGTTTCCATTATGAACAGAAGAAGCTCAGAGATGAGGAAAGAAGTTTTAACATGCAACAAAATTGACTAGCTAGTTTGCACATTAACTGTTTTTAACTTATGGCTTGTAAGTTTAGTGTTCAGGTTAAATTTTTTTTTAAGTTACCTGAGAACAGTCAGCGTCAACATTCCTGCAGGGTGGTACTGTATTGGGTCCAGAAGATTCTCAGGTGCACTCAGAATTGTCATGGAATCAAAGTCTCCTTTGATAATAACCTCCCCTTTGCTAGATACAAAATAAAAAGCGTACCAATCTGAAATAGACCCTGAAGATTGTCACCCTCATTGGAATGTCAAGAGTAAAAAGACCTTAGAGCCAGGTTAGATGCAGACATAGATACAAGGTCATCAAGGATTAATTCCTAAGAATCGATTTGAACAAGGTGAATGGAGGTGCCATTAGTAAGTGGGGATGGACAGATTTAGGGGAAAGGACGGAGTTCAGTCACTTTGAGGAGACACCGAATGGTCTTGCACTGCAAATTATCCAGTGCCAAGGAGACAGCTGTGTATATGAGTCTAGAGCTCAGAAGAAAAACATGCTCTAGAAACGTGAAAGTGAGAGTTGTTAGCTATAGACGCTACTGAACACCATGGGAATGGCTGGGGTGTGGGTAGGAGAGAGAAGAGGACAGGGCCTGGGGGTGCTGGGGAGGAGCCGCTGCAAGGCAGATCAGCCCGCTCTCCTGCGTCCAGGCTGCCCTGTTCTCTAGATGCTGTCTGTCCAGCCCAGAGAATACCTGCCACCATCCAGTGAGTGTAGCTTCAGGTAATGCTGACTTCTGTCAGCAGCCACACCATAGCTCCTGTTGACCCCGCAGTCAGTGCAACCCCTCCATCTCAAAATAACAGCTGCTGCTAAGTCAACTTGGTTTTTTAGGCTAAAAGATGATCATTCTTTTATTCTTGTTAACTTATCCTTACTGGATTCCCCATTGTTTCATTACTAGTCCCCAGTACATCTGTGGAATACGATTTCTAACACAAGATGTGTGATCTCAGGCAAGTTACTTAGCTCTCTGTGCTTCAGTTTCCTTCCTGTCAACTGAAGATGTTCTAGTATCTATCTCACAGGGTTTGTGAGGATGAAATGAGTCAATTCATGTAGAGAGCCCAGAACAACGCCTAGCACATACGTACTTAATAGATTTTAGCTGTCATTGTCATTATCATCTATCAGAGTTCCTCATGATTATGTTCCAAACCATCTCACCTAATTAGAATTTGTCATTAAGAAAACTATGGAACATGACATGGAACGTGGACAAGGAACTGATTTGCAAACTGCAAGAAAAGGCAGGGACCCATCAGGAGAGAGCATGGGGGCTGAGCAGAGAAGGGGGCTTGGCCCTCTATCACCACTTCAAACAGATTTCTTCTTTCATTGGTTTTATATATTCCATTTCTAGAAAAGCTTCATTTGGAGAAAGGGTGCGTAAAAAAGGAATCTTGGCTAAGCTGGTGACTAGGGTAACGTCCTACCCTCTCAAGTACAATTAAATTCAGCAGAGCCTTATTGGATGCAGAGCCTGCTGTGTGCACAGCACTTGCTGGGTTCCCTGCGGGAAAGGGGTAGGAATGTTCTCTGCTTCCGCGTAGTTCGACTACACTAGGTGACCTGTACACGCAGACCCACGCAGGAGTGTGCCTGTGGCGTGGCAGAGGTGCAGAGCACGGGAGCAGGAGAGCAGAGGTGCAGAGCACGGGGAGGGTCCTGGGAAGGTTTGGGAGGTGACTTTGGAGGGACAGGCAGTGACGCACGGACGGTAAATGCAGGCAGCAGCAACAACAGGGGACGCTAAATGAGGGGCACCGCGCCTCGTTCTCTCTGCACATTGGCCAGGCGACACAGATAATGCTCGGCTTGCATGCTTCAGTCTGGTATGGCAGCTTGGGGGAGCGAAAGGGACGGGAGCCCGCGTGCCACTGCGGGAGTTCAGCTGTGCGCCGAGGTTTGGGGACAAGAGAGCGATGTCATCGGAGTTGTGTTTTACGATGTGTGTGGCACCCCGAGACCCCGGCTGGTGGTGGGACTCCAGCGCAAAATGACCTCTAAACAGAATTAGCTCCGGGTACTCAGTTCAGCCTGCGGCGCCCTCCGCCCCGCACTCCCCGCCCCTCCCCTCC